GCTGAAAAAAAAGAGAAAGGAATGCAATCATAGTACACCACATGGCTCAGATATAAACAATATTTGTATAGACATAATATTATAAACATCAAATTTTTATTTACAAAAATGATGATATAAATATAGTGGGAGTTTGGGAGTAAGAAAAGTATGCATGTAGTTAGTATGTGTAAGAGAGCTAAATCCCCTTCTTCCACAGTAGGTTGTCTAAAAATGGAAAAATCAAGAAGTAGAAATAGCGGAAAAACACATTTAAAAAATAATTATGAAAATATATATTAGCAGAAACAGTTAAAAGAGTTCGAAGTTCTGGGTAGGGTTTTGGGAGTGGGAGGGTAGGTAGGGGATTGCTGTCTTTTGTTATAATACTTGTAGAATTAAAGAATTTAACTTTTTGTACTATGTACATGTATTATTTTGATTTTAAAGGATGACTTACATGTGCTTCAGAAATATTTGTATTCAAGGCAAAATGGCTATTTCCCAGTAGACTATGAATAATTTCAATGCATGCAAACAGGCTATTTCACATCATAGCTAATTCACGGATTGGAAAACATTAAGATTTAACATTTAGAATAAATTTCACTCTGACATATTAAAAGAAATCTTTTTATTAGTTTTGTTAGCATCATCATATTTCCCTTTGTTATTAAGGGCAAGTGGGTCACTAAAATTAGTTATTTTAGGCTAACTCAGAGGTTCTCAACTGGGGAAGATTTTGCCCTTCAGGGAACATTTGGCAACGTCACAAAGGGGGTGGAGGTGTGCTACTGGTATCTAGTTATGTAGAAGCCAAGGACACCACTAAACAACCATGATGAACAGGACAATCCCCCAAACAAAGAATTATCCAGCCCCAATGTCAACAGTGCTGAGGTTGAGAAACCAAGCTCCAAGTCTCTGAGGATTATTTCATCAGAACGCTGTACATAAAGATTGATGATATGCAAACATCTCGCAATTTAGGACTGACTCAGCTCAATATCTTGGTGCGATGTTGGAAGCAGTCTGGCTATGAAATATATCTTTTGGAATATTGAAAATGGTAAAGACAAAAGGTATAATAAGTGATAATAATAAAACACAGTGCTATGTACCTCAATAATCTCTTTCATCTATGGTTTCTAGGGCACTTTATAGACTAATAATAACTACTCTGGTACTCACATAATACCTTTTATCTAAGGACCTCAGGCACTTTCACAACACTCTCACAATGTAGGGAGTATTATTATCCCCATTTTATATGTAAGTAAAAAGAGGCACAAAAGTTAAGCAACTTGGTCAAAGCCACACAAGTCAGTAGTAGCCAACATTCCTTACTTAGAGTCTGTTAACATTAAGAGAACTGGTCTAAGAGATGCAGTGATAAATTTATGTGGTGTTAAGTGTTACCCTAGATCATTCAAACTCTGTCGTTTTTAGGTTAATATTATATATTCAGTATCTCATCTTTTTTTGCCTTTCTCCCCCCCGCCCCCCACTTCTTAGAGACACAGGACTTAACTGCCTATTAATAGAAGGGACTGTTTACTGAGTGCCTTCCTTGAATCAACCATGCTTTATGTGCAGTATCAATTCTTAAAACCGCTTAAAAATAAATGCCATTAGGGGCTGGCCCGGTGGCGCACTGCTATAGTGCGCCGCTTCGGAAGTGTGGTGGCGCTCCCACAAGGGTTCGGATCCCACATACAGACCGGCCGCTCACTGGCTGAGCGAGGGGCGGGAGCAACACCGAGGGTTGCGATCCCGTGGCCGGTCCTGGCCCGGTACGGCCGGTCCTGGCCCGGTACGGGCGCGACACCCGGCCCGGTACGGGCGCGACACCCGGCCCGGGACGGGCGCGACACTGAGGGGTGCGATCCG